AAAAAAAAAAAAACCCAAAAGCATAAAAAAAAAAAACAAGAAAAAGGAAATGCTCCCAGGGATGTCCCTGTGTGTCTGAGAAGAGTAAGGGAGTAGCTTCCAAGCCGCGCGGTACTGCCTGGCTAGAAGGGGGTCCGAAGCTGAGAAAAGAAAAAGAAAACAAATCAAAACAGAACAAATCAGAGCAAACAAACATACAAACAAAAAAGCCCCAGGGGTCCCACTAGCATGGTGGCACAGGCCGGGAAGCAGTTTCACAGTCAAGCGGTGTTTCGCAGCCTTTCAGGAAGAAGCAAAGATGGCACATAGAGCCAGGTATTTGAGAGAAAGGAGGGGGAAGTAGTGAGAGGTAAGGAAGAAATCTGAAGAAGTGGAAAACAGCAACACCAGCAGCCAACAAAAGGCACTCAGGGAGCCGACCAGTGCGGGTGGGTGTAATCCAAGCAACATCGGGGTGAAGCTGGTGCTTCCCGGCGAAGAGACTGTGGCTGCAGGAAGCAGATGAGGCTGAGTAGGGGTGAAGAAGGGTGGGGGGTGGGAAAGCATATATCGCTGGTTACCAGTTGTTCTGTCTCCTGCTGGAAGCTCCGTGAAGCTGCTTTCTTGTACCCCCTGTTCTCTGATCTCCGACAGGAGTCCAAGATGGCGGATCCATGCTTCGGTAGCTGATAGGGGACCTCTGCATGTATTTTCCTTGCTCTGTGTTCTCGGTCAGTTTCTTATTCCATTCGGTGCTTGGCTGAGTTCTTTATCTCTTCATTTGATGCTTAGGGTTTCAGGATTAATGTGTGACTCTGTTAGACTTAGTTTTTCGGATCTTAGCTGCAGAGGGACAGCATGGTGCTTCTGACTATAGCGCCGTGTTGCCCGGAAGTCTTAATGTCCTTTTTGACGTGGTAGTTTACAAATGGTTTTATTCTCAGAGAAACTATTGCCCAGATTTAATCTGTTAATTTTCACGATGATCGTTTCTTATTTTTTTAGGCACGAGATGTACGCACCAATGAAGTGGTGGCCATTAAGAAAATGTCTTATAGTGGAAAGCAGTCTACTGAAGTAGGTTAAGTATATACATTTTTATTAACATGTTAGAGAAAGACATTATTTTTAATGGCGGGAGCAGAATTTTTTTTTAAAGGAGTGTAATATACAAAAAGAGCACAAATCTTAAGTGTATATTTCAAAAAATTTTCTTTCATCACAAAGTGAATGCACTTATTTAATTAGAACCTAGAGCCATAAGCAGAACAATACTGGCATCCCAAAAGGCTCCCCACCTTGTGCCCCCTCGTTTAATTTTTTAAACTCTAGTTTAATGTATTACTCTGTATTTATCATAGAGGGATTGTCTTGCCTTGAAGGAAATAATTTTGCAAATTAGGTAATTGAGTTATAAACTGTATGAATGTAATTTCTGTCAACTTTTTTATTTTGACATCTAATGTAAAAATTACAAATAAATCACAGTTGTATTTTCTTGTCAGCCCTTCTTAATCTATTAATTGCTTTTTTTTCTTATTTAACTCTCTAAATAAAAATAACTATTCATAAATTTTCTCCTCATTCTTTTTTTTCCCCCTTACAGAAATGGCAAGATATTATTAAGGAAGTCAAGTTCCTGCAAAGAATAAAACATCCTAACAGTATAGAATACAAAGGCTGCTATTTACGTGAGCACACAGCATGGGTAGGTATTTGCTCTCTCCTTGCTGTAACTTTAGTTGGTTTTAGTTTCGAGTGCATTAGTTAAGACTGTCTCAGACTGGTTGTGTAAAGGTATGCAAAGGCACCTGAAATGTTAGTTGATACTGAGAGAAGAAAAGCATTACCTGCTAGAACTAGGCATAATAATTGTTCATTTAAGAGAAGTGCTAACTTTCTGTTAAATAGAAATGGCCCCCTTTTATTGAATAATTAATAAAAACTACAGCTAATTATCATTTTAGTATACTGAACTTAGATTTAGATTTGTAATGTTTGGTGCATTTTTATCCAGTTTAAATTTTGGAAGGACTCCTAAACTTAAGGCTATCGTTAAACAAACAGCAGCAATGTTGGACAGATTACCTCTCTGTCTGTCAGATTCCCGACCTGTAAAACAGCAATAATAATAGAACCTACTTCATAAAGTTGTAGAGGTCGTTGGTGGCTCAGTCGTAAAATTCGCACGTTTAATGTCTGAGACCCCGATTCTCTTTCTGGCTAATGCACCTCATACACAGCCACTCCCTATCTATCAGTAGTGGCTTGCATGTTCCTATGATGCCGATCAGTTTTCATTGGCGCTTCCAGACTAAGCTGGGCTAGGAAAAAAGGCCTGGTGACCTACTGCACATTGTTCCGATCTGCAACTGATCATGGCGATGGCGTGGGACCTGGCAGCATTTCCTTCCATTGGGTATGGGGTCACCATGAGTTGGAAGCCCACTCAGTGGCAACTAACAGTAATGTAAGGTTGTTGTGAGCGTTAAATCAATTAATATATATAAAATAACCTGGCATATAGGAGATATTCTGTATTTACTTTAAAAGACATATTTAAGGTATAACCTACACTTTGTACGTATAATTCCAGAGTACAATTTTCTGCTTCCTAACAGTTATTGTTACTATAGGTTAACTGTAACAGAATATGTATATTCCTTTCTAATTTTAATAATTTTATATGAAATCACATTTTGTTAGCATCATTAAAAGATTATCACTGGCTTAACTTTATACATATATTTAACAAATTGATAAATAAATGAGTATTTTCAAGGTAAATGAAAACTAGTGCTTGTTTTACTTAAAACTATCTTCTGGATCTCCTGGGTAAACTTATTTTATCTCAAATGAAATCTTTATAATAATATGTTTTAATATTTTTATAATTTTTTTTCCCATGTAGCTTGTAATGGAATATTGTTTAGGATCTGCTTCAGATTTACTAGAAGGTAAGTTTCCTTGGATTAGTAAAGAAAAATAATACTAACAAAATAAAATAATTCAATTAAAGATTTCTTAAATTACGTTAACACTAAATAAGGTAGAAACTTTTCAAAAATAGAAAAACCCTAGCTTTTTCCAGATTTTCGGCATGGTATGTGGTATCCCCATTAAATATTACATAGTAGCATAAAATAGGTGGATTGTCTCACTGTGACTTTAGAGGCTTTTTTCTGGTTTCTTTGCCACTTCAGCAGCTTGATCTGCTCTTTATGTTCACATCAGATGTATGTGAGAAAAAAGGGGGAACATCTCTTCTGTTTGTTTTTATAATCACCAAACAATTTAGTATTGTTAACTAAGAGGAAAATTGGCTGTGAAATACACTAGCAGCTGGACACAACAGTATACTAGTTATAAAGTTCTACAGGCTTGTCTTACTGTCTTAGAAAGCAAATCCCTCTTGCTAAACGTTAGTATCCTTAAATTGTCCCATATGTTAGGAATGTATATTTATTATTTTAAATTGAAACATTCTATATAATAATTAGATTCTTTGTTTTAAGTTCACAAAAAGCCATTACAAGAAGTGGAAATAGCAGCAATTACACATGGTGCTCTCCAGGGATTAGCCTATTTACATTCTCATACCATGATCCATAGGTAAGTGCTTTGAAAATTATCATGTATTACCAAGCAGATGGCTTGTTGCCTTTATCTACCTTAAAAATTATTATCCGAAGTTGTTGGTTATAGCCAAATAGAAGCATTTCAGAATCTCATAAATGCATATTTTTTAACATGTCCATGTTCTAAAAAGATTACACTTGATCTCTTTTTTTAGGATTATTTTCATCTTTGCCTACTGGTGCTGCTGGGCCTTCTTGAGTTATGTGTACTTTATGGATTTGTGGTAGAAATTTAATTGTAAAATCACTAAGTGTACAAACTGGAAGGGACATTAGGGATCATATAGTCTTTTTAGTTTTACAGATGAAGAACCCAAAGCCTCAATTTGTGACTAATTTCCTAAAGGTTGCAAAGCAGATAGATTAGAGCTAGAACTAAACCTTTTGTCCTCCTGGTAACTGATACTGCCAGATTTGTTCCATTGATCTCATGATATGGACAAATAAAAGCTACTTAAGATTCTTTTTGCTTTAATCATTGATAATTGATAGTAACTTTGATATGAAACCATTTTATAAAGCATTTTTTGGCATTGGTATGTGGTTTTGGCTGTTTTAGAAGAAAACTAGCAATTTTTGATTATATATACCAACCAGACAATACATAATAAACTATGTGACAGAGTCACGTGAATTAACGGGTTATCTTTTTTTTTTTGAAGATGAGCAAGTCAGGTCCAAGAGAAATCCATGTGGCTTGTAAATAAGTCTGATGGTACGGTGGTTAAGAACTCAGTTGCTAACCAAAAGATCAGCAGTTGGAATCCACCAGCTGCTCCTTTGAAACCCTATGGGGCAGTTCTGTTCTGTCCTATAGGGTCACTATGAGTCGGAATCAACTCGACGGCAATGAGTTGTAAATAAGTGAGTGGCAGAGTTGGAATTAGAACCTGGTGTTTTCTTAACTTCAAAGTACCTTTCCATTTTTTTAAACAAATGGAAGGAAAATAGACATTTAGTATTGCATGCCTTACAGTACGATAGTAAAAACTGGCAAATACACTTGGAAATTTAGTTTTTCTTTTTTAATTTTTAAAAGGTTAAATGTATGTTGTAGTGCCCATTGGATATACAATTCCGTTTATATAAATATTCATAATGTTCTTAGTTTGGATGGGCAGTATGTTTGCTGTTTTAGAAAAGTAAGTTTGAAAGTAAGTATGGAATCATTGATGTTACATTACCCATAGACTTAAGTTTTCATTTCATAGTTACAAGAACTGTGTTAAAGTTTGGAAAGGATAAGAATAATATTTTTTCTTTTCTAGCCAAATTTGGGGTATGAGGTGTTTATTTTTTTAATTTTTTTTTTTTTTTTAATACTAAGAGGTACTCAGAAGCTTTACAGATTATGAAAGGATTGTCAGCTACCAATTAAATTCTATTTCTAAAACCATTATTTGTACCAAAGAACAGACTCAGGATATAGACCATATGTTCCAGTTAGCTGATTTTCTCTCTTTTGTCATTTATGGCTGTTTGACTTCTCTTTTAGAAAATTGTTACTATGTATTTATTTGAATTCTATAATTTTTATTTTCTAACTTAGATCTTAATACTCATTGTCCCAGTTGTAAGACTATCCTAGGACTTAATTATTTTGATTTCTCCTTCCCTATCTTAGGCATTCTTGTTTGATTTTTTATCATTTACAATACAATCTAATGAAGAAAAGATAAATAATTTTCTGTACTCCTTAAACCCAGAGATATCAAAGCAGGAAATATCCTTCTGACAGAACCAGGCCAGGTGAAACTTGCTGACTTTGGATCTGCTTCCATGGCATCTCCTGCCAATTCTTTTGTGGGAACGCCATATTGGTAAGAATTGTCCTGTTATTGATTCTCATAATTGAAATATGCAATGTGTGGTTGTACATTTTTCCAGATACCTTACCTTTTTCTTGTAAATACACCCTCTCCTCACTTTTTGACATGGTTAGGTTCCAGAGACTAGATTGTTAGGCAAAAATCACGATTATGCAAAAATGGAAGATGACCATATCATATCACAGCATGGAGATTGACTACATCATTGCATAACTGTCACATTATATCATTACATAATGGCAAAACCATTGATAATCATGGCCGAGCCAAGCTGACACATAACCTTAACCGTTACAGCCAGGATTACTCTCTCCTTGCACTTCAGCGTTCATTATTGCCAGACATGTGTTGTTAATGCACAAAATGCTTAGATAGTAGATTTTTACTATTGTTGTAAATGTGAAATATCAGAAAACAAGATAGTCGATAAGTGAGGAGTAGGTGTTTTATGCTATCTTGGACATTTTAGCTTTAAGGATTATAGTTAGTTTTTAATATAGATTTGCGTGCTGCCCTTGAATCTCCTTTTTTTTTTTTTAATCTTTTTTGTGCTCCCCCCGCCCCCATTCCATTCACTTTCTTATAATTATCTGCATCATAAATTGGGTGTGGGAGTGAAGGTTTTTTTTAAAATGCAAATTTGGGGAAATAAAGAAATGCTAAATGGAAATTTGTGTGTTTTCCTTAGATTTACATTTACTGTGTTTCAGTGATCTTCAGACTAAGTGTACCTGAAGAGTGGTAGCCACTTCAGAGTTGTTTTTTCTTTCTTTTATTTGATTGGTTTTTTGTTGTTATTGTTCTTTTATTTTAACTTTTTACTATGGAGAATTTCAAATATACACAAAAGTAGACAAAAATATAATGAAACCTCATGTTCTAGTCACCCAGCCCAACAATATTATGGCATTCTCTTTACCTCCCCATCCCACCCTCAATATTTTGAAGCAAACGCTAGACATCATGTAATTTTATCCATAAATAATTCACTAGTATTATCAGCAAGTTTGAAGGAAATAATTTTCCAGATTTTCAGTTTTCTTATGTTCTCTTGCTCTGTGTAATCTGAAAATAGTGCCTGATGGCCACTGCATCCTCTTTCCCACCTGTCTTTCAAAATCGCCCGTCTCCTGCTTTATAAAACAAATGCTTTAAACCCATCCTGAATATTACAGTGGTGGATCTGGTCTGGGATATAAAAACCTCTGAGGCACACCAAAGGGGCAATTTAAGAATGTATAGCATTTATGATAAAATATTGAAGGGTCAGGTTGCAAACTCATGGCCAGGCCCTATGCCTTTCCAGTTATCTCGCTTTCCCTTCTTTTTCTCCTCCCTTTCTCTTTCACCCTCATTACACTGCTCCTTTCTTTCCACATTAGAATTGAGAACTGATAGTTGTCATGGGAACACATATTAGCACGTTTATTTGCATTGAAAAATGAAGTCAGACTTTTCTGACAGCAAGTGACTGACTAATATAACCATGAAGACTGTCTTTGCTATAGGTTATATGGCAGTTCTTTAAAATAAATGAGCTAATTCTGCAGCTCCAAGGTTATGAAAATACATTTAAAATTCACATGCAATATAGATGTATGTACTATGTGTTATATTCTTTCCATCTATTAGATTTATAAAATTTAGATGTTATCTTAAAAATGTGCAAGGGGATACGTAGTTTTTTAATATGTAGGAGGTATATGAATAAAAAAATTTGAAGGTCACTGCTCTAGATGACAAAAATTTCTTATTGTAGAACCCTAGTCTAGATATAAAAAAGAGTTCTGTGAGCAAATAATACTTCTGAATGATTCCCCTCGTTAGAAATTAATGATGAATATTAGATATTAAAAAGTCCCTGGAAAGCCCTACAATAAAAAAACAAAAATCATGTCTTTAACCTTGTTTAACTTAGTAATTTCCCAAACTTACTTCAATGTCTTAAAAAACACTTTGGGCACACCATATTATTGACAATTGAAAGTTTACTTCATTTCATATTTGTTGATTTGAATATAGTATATTTGGAGCACAAGAACTACATACGTATCTATATGTCTTCGCACATACACGTTTGTGGATGTCTGGTAACTGTTACTGAAGTAGTCAGCAGCTGTTTTCAGTGTCTGTCTGCACTTAAAACCAAATACAAATGAAGTATAAGGCAAAGTAGCATCGAGAACTCTGGATTGTAGTTGAAGACATGAATTAGTGTTTCATTTTATGACTAAGAAGCCTATAAAGTGGAAAACTGTATGATTGTTTGAGATATGAGTTTTTATCATGGAACATTATTTTTGTTTGAAAGAAAGACTGACAGACAATCTGTGGTTATCCAGTCTTGGGTATTGTGGTAGATAGTTTCTCAATTGTCACATCAAGGAAAACAACTGACACTACTTATTGCCAGTGATAAAATTCAGTATTTCAAGCAAAAATTAGACTTTGTGGTGGGGTCCTAAGACCAAAATATTTGAGAACTGCTGATCTGTGAGGATATGCGGTACTAGAATCTGCAGACTAGACCAGAATATAGCCCTGCTCTCAGGGTGTCCTTCCTTTAGTGTTCTGCTGTATGATCATGACAGATGGTGACAATGAGCATAGTCTCAAAGTATATATGCAATGCTAAGTATTTACCTCACAACCTGTAATACATTTATTTCTCATTATAAAAATCCTTATGTTCAGATAAATTGACTGGAATGCAAATCAGTGTTCCTCATATAGATGTCACTACATTCTCAAAGAATAGTATACATTTTTTAAACCTTAAATGAACACTTTATATTTTAGGATGGCCCCGGAAGTAATTTTAGCCATGGATGAAGGACAGTATGATGGCAAAGTAGATGTATGGTCTCTTGGAATAACATGTATTGAACTAGGTAAGCATTGTTCTTCATTACTGTGAAGTAAGTTTTGATCAATGTTTTACCTCAATTTCTGTACCTAGTTACAGCTTTTTATCTCATGTGCCAGTTCCTAAGGGGAGCAGTAAATACAATTCTCTGAAAGTTTTAACTTTGGTTTTCTGATAATTTTTTATACATATTAAGTTAGGTATATTATATTTGCTCTGTTAAATGAGGGTTAAAATAATTTCCTACTGTGGTTTTAATAAGTTTGAAGTATCTGTTTCTAACATTAATGAGTATTTCTTAAACACCTAGAATGTGTCTTTGAATACTAAATTTATCATCTATAGAAGCTCTCTAAAGCATTCATGAATTGCTTAACTCTATCTACAGTACTTAATTTGAGTTAGGTATGATAGTTAGATGTCAGGTTGTATACCATATTGTAGAAGTTTGATTTTATGCACATATTTTGTTCTGTTACCCATAAGTGGAACTATGCTAAAAACAGTGGACCATCATAACTTATTAACATCCCACTGGAAGTGAACTAGGTGGGTAATTGAACTGCCTTGTAATTGAAGATACTGGCCATCGTCTTGCACTTGATTCCCAAGCTTTCCCCCAATATCTTTTTATGTTTGTTTGTTTTTCTTCTTATAAGAATATTTCATTTAATTTATTTAAAAGTGGAAAATATTATAGCATTTAATTGAGACATTCTAGAAGGGGTTACCAGGCTTTGAAAATAACACATTAAAAGTAAAATCAGTGTATTATTTTGGTAAATGATTATCAACCTGGATTTGTCCGTAGTTTTCTAAACAGGGAAATTGAGGTACAGTAAAGGTAGAAGTTTTCTTAATGTTACTCAGTAGATGAATATTACAATTTCTGTAACAACCATACTGTTTCTATTTTGCAGTATAATATTTTCCCAAAATAATGTAATCTTTAAATTTCATTTTTGTTGGAATTCCTACACTAACCATTCCCTTCAAACTCTACCTCACCATGTTTATTATATAGTTTGACAACACCAGCAATCAGAGATTTAGAGATTACCATAATGTCATTCTCTCATAATTTCTTGCTCAATTTTCTATTCTCTATTTCATTTAATTCTGCTCTAATTCTTATCATTTCCTTCCTTCTGGCACCTGAGGGCTTCTTTTGCTGCTCTCTTTCTACTTGTTCCAGTTGTAGGGTTAATGTTTTGATTATGGCCCTTTCTTCTTTTTGGATGTGTGCATTTATTGGTATAAACTGTCCTCTGAGCACTGCTTTTGCTGTGTCCCAAAGTTTCTGGTAGGATGTGTTTTCATTCTCATTTGATTCTGTGAATTTCTTTATTCCATCCTTAATGTCTTCTATAACCCAGTGGTTTTTAAGCAAGGTGTTGTTCAGTTTCCATGTGTTTGATTTTTTTTTCTTGCTTTTTCTGTCGTTGATTTCTACTTTAATAGCTTTATGGTCAGAAAAGATGCTTTGTAATATTTCGATGCTTTGGATTTTGTTAAGGCTTGCTTTATGGCCTAATATGTGGTCTATTCTGGAGAATATTCCATGCGTGTTGGAAAAGAAAGTGTACTTGGCTGCCGTTGGGTGGAGTGTTCGGTGTGTGTGTATGAGATCAAGTTGATTGATTGTAGCATTTAGCTCTTCCGTGTCTTTGTTGAGCTTCTTTCTGGATGTTTTGTCCTTCACTGAAAGTTGTGTGTTGAAGTCTCCTACTGCTGTTGTGGAGCTGTCTCTCTCTCTTTTCAGTGCTGTTACAGTTTGTTTTATGTATTTTGGAGCCCTGTCGTTGGGTGTGTAAATATTTATTATAGTTATGTCCTCCTGGTGTATTGACCCTTTAATCATTATATAGTGTCCTTCGTTATCCTTTGTGGTGGATTTTACTTTAAAGTCTGTTTTATCAGAGATTAATATTGCCACTCCTGCTCTTTTTTGATTGTTGTTTGCTTGATGTATTTTTTTCCATCCTTTGAGTTTTAGTTTGTTTGTGTCTTTAAGGTGTCCGTTTACATTCAGCGTAATTATTGATAGGTACGAGTTTAGTGCTGTCATTTTGGTGTCTTTTTTTGTGTGTTGTTCAGTTTCTTTGTTCCACTTAATTTTCTGTGCTGAGTCATTTCTCTTTATGTATTTTCATCGTTATTGACTTTGTGTTTGCTGAGTCTTTATATTTGTCTCGCTCAGTTTGAAGTTTGTAAAATATTTCTTTAACTCCATTTGAAAGTATCTTCAAATGTCCTAAACCCTATTCTTTGACCCTTGCTTCTGTAGATCCTAATTAATTTTTTAAGAAACCTTGGTATGAATGTAGAGAAGAAACTATGGAATGTACTCTGCCCATGTCTTGCTTATACGTACTTAAGCTTTCTGATGCATACTTGTGTCCATATTGGTAGTAAAATTACATTAATGGTCCTATTAGTTATCAGTGCTATATTTTAAGATTTACATGATCAGAAGAAACTGTACGGTTTCCGTGAAATAGTTTATTATTTTTCCAGGCTATCTAGCTTCTTTTTATTCTAGTTCCTTCACAATGGACCTTTTTATACTTAGAATAAAACAACTTCAGGAGATGTGACTACCGTTAGATCATTTAAAGTGGATGACATGTTTCAAAGACTTTCTTAAAGTTTTAGGCATACATTTGGCATCTTCATCTTTTATAAATATTCTTTCATAATTAGTTTTTATAATACTACTTAGATATGTTTTAAATTCTGAAGTGATTAATCAGGAATTATACTTTAAGCCTGGCTCTGGCTGAGTGGGAGAAGTCTATAGTAGCACTGTTCAATAAAATGTCCTGCAATGATAGAAATGTTCCGTGTCTGCATGGCTATTGAGCACTTGGAATGTGGCTAGTGCAACTGAGCAACTGAATTTTTAATTTTATTTAGTTTACATTTAAATAGCCACATGGAGCTGGTGGTTACCCTGTTTGACAGCACAGATCTAAAGGCATGATTTTCAATACAAACTAGAGTCAACGTTGGGAAATAAGTCTGTTATGTGCTTTTCCACTGTAAAATAGTTAAGGATAACGAATTAAAGCAAATTCATAGTGTAGGTAAAAGAACAAACTTAAATCAACTGTACTATCTTTGGTTTTAATAAGTACAGTTCTGGGTAAATATGACTCTTCATTACCTTGGTATCATAAAAGTCCAGATAACTTAGTTATTTCTTATGACCAAACATTAAAGTGAAGAATTTTTCTAGATGGTTTTATTTGTTTTTTTACAGTTAATCTGATGAAGAAGATCCCTAGTGTGTTTTTTTCAGCCTGCGTGCATGATTGTGTAATTTTCTTTATAAAAATAAAATTTACATTTTTTTTCTGATTATATGCTGAGGATAGAAAATTAGAAAAAGTGAAAAGAAAATAAATCATCCATATTTCTACCCTCTAAACATAACCATTGTAAATTTCCTTTGTTGTTGTTTTGTTTTGTTTTACACATAATTTTTCATGGTGCTGCTATAATTGACTCCACTTAATATCAGCCTAACTCTATACTTTAAAATGTTTTTTATTATTGCTAACAGGTTGCCATTTACAAGCTGGGTAACTTTGGGCACCTTAACCTATCTCATAGGGTTAGGGTTTTCATGAGGAATAAGTGATACACATAAAGTACTTAGAATGGACCCAGGCACATAGTAAGCATTGATAAATGTTGGTTGTTTTCATTATTATCCAATTTGTGCCTGATGTAGTTCCGGGTACTGTAGAGTTCCTGTCCTTATATCCTAAAGCTGAGTGTTAAATAAACCTAACTTACAGAGGAACTTCTTAAAATAAAAACAATGCCCTATCCAGGGAAAAAACAAAAGGGACAAAAACTTCTCTTCCTGCAGAGAGCCAAGGTGAATGGAAACTTGTTTTTAAGTTGATTATCAGTATGAATTCCCAAGCAAGGACAAAATTATTTCTGTCATTGAGAGACATAGCCATAAAAGAAAATGATAAAATATGAACTCATTTACCTCACCTTTTGATAATTACTCTCCTGTATAAGTACACAGAGCCCTGGTGGCGCAGTGGTTAAGAGCTCACCTGCTAACCAAAAGGTTGGCAGTTCTAATCCACCAGCTGCTCCTTGGAAACCCTATGGGCAGTTCTACTCTGTCCTGTAGGGTTGCTATGAGTCAGAATAGACTGGACAGCAGTGGGTGGGTGTATATAAGTACACATTATTTGAACTCTTTCTCTGGAAGTTTTTTCCACTGGACTTTGTTTTCTGCAACTTACTTTCTAGACCTTCCAGTTCTTCTATTTCAATGTTATATCATTTGCTCTTTAGTTTTGGTAGTATTAATTCTACAGAAGCAATCCATATTTATGGAAAGAGACATTTGAGAAAACATATTCAAAAAATAGTAAGGCACATGGATGAACCTTGAGAACATCATGCTGAGTGAAATAAGTCAGCCACAGGACAAATACTGTATGATCTCACTTATATGAAATAAGCAAATATATAGAAACCAAAGATAGTTAGTGGTTACAAGGGGTAGGAGAGAGGACGAAAGGGAGAGTTATTGCATAGGGGGCATTAAGTTTGTTAATGGTGGTGGAATGATTTGGATAAGGGTAGTGAGAATGGTTACACAACTTGAGGAATGTAATCAATGTCACTGAATTGTACATGCAGAAGTTGTTGAGATGATGTATTTATTAAAAAATGAAAAAAATAAGGCATGGGATTGCTAACTTCTATTGCAGTAAAATATATGTTATATAAAATTTGCAATTTTAACCATTTTCAAGTGTACAGTTTATTGGTATTAATCACATTCACCATGTAATACAACCATATCTATTTCTAAAAATTTTCGTCACTCTGAACAAAAACTCTGTACCCATAAAGAAATAATTCCCCATTTGTTCCTCTCCCCAGTTTCTGATAATCTCTACTTTCTGTCTATGCATTTGCCTGTTCTGGATATTTCATATAACAAGAATCATACAATATTTGTCCTTTTTTCACTTAGCATAATGTTTTCAAGGTTTATACATGTTGTAGCATGTATCAGAACTTCATTCCTTTTTATGGCTGAATAATATTCCATTGTATGTATAATACTACATTTTGTTGATCCAGTCATCTGTTGATGGACGTTTGGATTGATTCTACCTTTTGGCTATTATGAGTAACACTGCTGTGAACATTCACATACAAGTATCTGTTTGAGCACCTGCTTTCAATTGTTTTGAGTATTATACCTAAGCGTGGAATTGCTGGGTCATAAGGTAATTTTATTTTTAACTTTTTGAAGAATATGACTATTTTTTTTGAACATTAGTTTAGCAGTAGCTCATACAAAAAACCAAACCCAAACCTGTTGCTGTTGGTCAATTTTGACTCATAGCGACCCTATAGGACAGAGTAGAACCGCCCTATAGAGTCACCAAGGAGCGGCTGGTGGATTTGAACTACTGACCTCTTGGTTAGCAGCCAGGGTCTTAACTACTGTGCCACCCGGGCTCCAGTAGCTCATAGAATTTTGAAATAAAAAGTTAAATCCACTAAAATCTATCACATTTTATATTTGGTGAATTTTCTATTATTTTTAGCTAACTAAATTAAGGGATGTTTAATTCTATATAGTAAGTGAAGATATAAAGCATATTCTGGTTTGATGGTGTACCATTTAAAAAATTTAAAGACCTTAATAAATTATCATAGAAATAGATAAGTCATTTCTTTCATTCATTCAGAATTTCTTCATGTCAAGAGTAGAACTGTGCTCCTTAGGGTTTTCAGTGCCTGGTTTTTTGGAATTAGATAGCCAGGCCTTTCTTCCAAGGTGCCTTTTTGTAGACTCAAGCCACCAACCTTTCATTTAGCAGCTGAGCATGTTAACCTTTGCCCACCCAGGGACCCTAGCAGATTAAAATTTATTATATAAAACAGAATTCCACCAATCCATATAATAAAAGAATTTTAAAATTTTTATAAGAAGCATGGTATTTATAGAACTTCAGAGTACCTTCTTATAAAATACTTGTTAATTACAAAGGGAGACGGAGTAACTGACCTTGAAGAAAGCTGGCAGATGCCACCTTAATCAAGTGATCAAAGTGAACACCATTAGTATCTTCATGGGATATATCAGTCAGCAAAATATAGCATTACTTCTGTGATATTCCTGCCAAAGAGGTATAACCCAAATCTAATCATAGGAAATAGCAGAAGAATGCAAATTGAGGGACATTCAACAGTTCTGTAAACTACAGAAGTGTCAAGTTCTTGACCTCAACTTTCACCTTCAGAAGCGAGGGAAAAAAACAATTCAACCAATATCAGGACCAAGAAATAAGATCACCTTAAAACCTCAAATTTTGCAGATATTAAAAAGGATAGTAGGGAAATATTATGAAAAATTTTGTCAATAAATTTGATAACTTAAATAGTCAAATTTCTAGAAAGACACAAATTGTCAAAGCTCACTTGGCTATAAAACAGGTCATTCGGACATTTTAGGGAATGTTCTTTATAGAAAGCATACAATAAAGTATTTAGGGATGGTAGGGCATCAGATCAGCAATTTACTCTCAAATGATTTAGAGGAAAAAGTTTTTTGAACTTCGCTAGCAATTTTTTAAAGTTTGAACTTGTTTCAAATTAAAGAAAAATAAATAAAAAAAACTTCAGCATTAAGTACTTCAGTGCTCTGTATAATAGGCACATATTTTAACAGGAAAGTTTTCTTTCTTTACAGCGGAAAGGAAGCCTCCTTTATTTAATATGAATGCAATGAGTGCCTTATATCACATAGCCCAGAATGAATCCCCTACACTCCAGTCTAATGAATGGTAAGTATTACTAACAGATATGTTATTCAAATTTGTATAAATGAAATGCTTTTTTATGATCTGTTATCAAAGTGAGTTCACTTCGCTTAAGTAAAATGTGTTACCTGAAGAGATATTAAACTAGGCTTATGTTACCCTTTCTTACATCATGTTTATCCTTTATCATGTATGCATTTCGTAGCATATATATGGGTCAGTTTAGAAATAAAGGACAGATGATGTCATATGGAAGGAAAAAGTATTGCTTTTTACAGAAATTTATATTTTATTTTTTCTTGGAACTTTAGGAAAATATATAACCCTAATTACATAATAAATAGCATGACATAAGCTTTAGTATTTTATAACTAAAATATATCAAGTGTTGCAACCTGTATTTCTTTTGAGAAATAGTTTATAATTTATGTGATATAAAACAGAGGTAAAATGATTTGCCTTTATCAAAATTACCAGGTAATTAAAACCTTTGGGATCATTCTAATTGTAATAATGATATTTGTTATTCAGATTGCTCTGATGTTCCTCTTCCTAGTGCTTTCTTGATTTAATATAATTCAATTCCTTCATGTAAAGAAGTTATAGAAAATTAGGATTTTTATCAATGGTAGAGAATTTTAGTAGGAAATTAATTCCTCAAGTATACCTAGTATTTTGAAAAATTCTAGGGAAAAACCCAGCATACTTAATTACTGTTTTTAAATTCACAAGTGGATTCATAAATCAGATACTTTACTTTTTAGAAGATTATGTAATTAGAGCACATCCATAGATCTTTGCTATATATGTAGAGATATATAGAAAGAATCTTTCAGGCCAGAGTTTAGTATTATGGTATACCATATTTTCACAGAAATAATGTATGCCTTCTATATTTGTTTGCCAACTACGCCATCCCCCCAGTGAGGCATTTTCATAAGTACACTAAGCTTATTTTTTTACAGCAATATGTAAAGAAATTACATAGTGACGCTTATAAAAATACCTCGGGGGGTGGGTGTGGTGGGCAAACAAATGTAGAAGGTACACGTTATTTGTGTAAAAATACAGTATATAAGTAATAAATATACTGAACACAGACTCATTTTACACTGTTTGATATATTGGGGATTGAAAAAAAAATTATTTTCTTACCTACAAGGAATTTAAAATTTTATTTGAATATTGATGACAAGCATTGATGGAGCAATTATTTCTCACTGTCTTATTCACTGAAGTCTAGTCAATAACACTATGTAATATTATGTTAGAGACTTCTAACAACATTTTAAAAAATACCTTAATTGGTTTTCTAGGTTTAATGGAAGTCTTATCCATTTGCTCAGGGGCACCAAATACTCAGGTATTAAAAAATGCTGCCTCTAGAGCACATAGAATGATGTTCTTAAGCATACTATACAGAGACCATCCAAGGGACACACAAGGAAAGAAAGATGGCTTAGAGAGGGGGAAAAATTTGTTATCTTGGATTTGAATGCAATTTAAAAAATGTAGATAGGCTTCCCTGATTTTGCCTCAGTATACAAAGGATTGTTATAGTTAATATGTAGGAGCAGGGTTTTCACATGATCTGTGCAAGTTTATCTGTGGAAAATAGTGAAGATTCATTGGTGGCTATAGATAGCTTTTCATGTTTTACTTTTTGACTTGTATGAAATATATAATATATAGTCTTTTCTTTTTGTTTCCATTTCCCTTCCCATCGGTATGCACATGCCTTGATTTTTGGATGTGTTTTTAAAGGAAATAGCAATATGTTCACTTGATACTTTCCTTTACAATAGGTCTGATTATTTTCGAAACTTTGTAGATTCTTGCCTCCAGAAAATCCCTCAAGATCGCCCTACATCAGAGGAACTTTTAAAGGTCAGTTTTATTATATCCTTAAGGTTCTCTACCCTTACGGAATTATTTTAAAGAAAGTGTTTTGTTTTTTGATGCTGAGTGAAGGATTAGATACGCTGTACTAGCTTTTACTAAAATGCTAATTTTTTATACTGTTTCCACTAGGAACTTTTCTTAGATACTAAGTTTGTTTTTTGTTTGTTTTTTAAAACTGATTAGCTCTTCTTATCATGTCTGACTAGAACATATATTTAAATATTCATAGTGTCAAATGGCTGCATTTGTATATGTGCCAGAATATGAGTTGTGAGTTACAATTCATGTGAAACAGTGCCTTATTTCAAAGTTGGTGAAAGTTTAACTTTGAATTTACTTCTTATACCCACCACACTTTATATATTGATCTGTCCTATATTAATGTAATATGACAGAAAGAGAAATGACATGTAACATTTACATAAACATTAGAGAACAGATTGCAAAAGAAACTGTAAAAATAGATATATTTTTATTTTTATTTTTGGAAATACATTTAATTTTTTTAACTTAACTCATTGCCATTGAGTCAATCCCGACTCATATGTACCTTTTGAGTTTTTAACTTAGCAATAAATTAACACTAGAAAGAGCAAGGAAAAAAAATCAACTACATGGAAACTGAATAATACCCTGCTTACACATCA